GATTCTGGTATAGAAAATCGAAAAGTCGTCCTTTTTAATAGAAACCTCGCGCGCTTCCCTCGCGGAAAATTATTATTAATCTCGGTGTACGAGCTCTGGCACGATGCCAGCCAGGCGAGGGTCGTAAAATTCCGGCAATTACATCGGTCGAGCGTCCTTTTAAGTTGTTTATTGCGGTGCGCCGGCGGAGAGGACATCCACGAGAGCCGAGCTTTTCCGCGTGTGCTGTGGGTGGTGGGGTGCAGGTGGTGGTGGTTTCTCGTTCGCGTTTCAATTAAGTCCTGTGGGAAAAAAAATAAAATAAAAGGCGAGAAGAAGAAAAAAATGTTTCCCGAGGCCAAAAGTTTGACGAAGTGTTTTTTCTCGGTGGTTCTAGTCTTTTTGTCGATGTCGTTGCCGTCGTCTTGCATTCGTGGCGTTGGTCCCGCGGGGTCCTCGCCAATCGAATTAACCAATAAAAACCGTCCCTCTGGCTGTTGTTGTCGGGTCACCGCCAAACAGTGTGTGCGCGTGCGAGTTGTTCTAATTGCGTTTATACTAGAGAATACGTTAGCGTGCGCGCACACACACACACTCAAACTTACCAATACACATAATATATATATATGATTTTACCTATGCGWTGTCGTCGCCCAGGGGGGACTCACACTGCTCATGTACACACACACACAGAGATATATATACATATATGTGTTATAGGTGTGCACGCGTTCGCGGTGGTTTACACAGTTTGGCCGATAGATCAAAACGCCAAAGGGGCACACAAAGTATATAATAATAATAGTAATAATAATATGTACGTGGCTGCTGTCGGGCTCGCGACAACTGGCCGGGGACAGCTGTGCAAATGCGACGTTACATATTATTATATATCGTAGGATCGTAGGCAAGAGATTTTATTGCCCCGATACGCGGCCATCGTAGTCTAAACTACGTGCAATGTACAAAATATTATTATGTTTTACTTATACGTCCTACATACGATATATTATATTGTAGTACTTTTATATTGCGTACGAGGACAACGGCCGAGGTAGTGATTGCGCGGACACGCTCGGTTACGGTGGCGAGATTTATATGCAAGAACACTTTACATAGAGGGGCAGAGAGAGAGAGTAGCACTTCCTTTCATGTCATTACTTTTAAATACGTTTTCCCGACATATATGCATATCCATACATATACAATGACGACCACCTCAGCGCCTATGCAGTAGAATACCATCGCCTTTACTCTTTGTTTAACGCCATATATATTAGCCATTTAGACTACGTATTATCTACGGTAGACTTTTTCATATTATGTACATTTGACCCGTAAAACCGTTGCCACTGCACTGCAGTCGTATGTCATAGGCTAAGTGTGCGCGAGTTTCGAGTGCGTCTGTTGTGTGCAGTGCTTATTATTTTCCGGAGGGTGTAGGACTTCGCATAATATAAAATGTCTATATCTGTATACACTTTGAATCCTCTCCTCCTATACATTATACTCGTAGATTATAGTACACCATTAGCTATGATGGTTTGTTTTTAACAATTTAACGATTTTTTTTTATATGCGTATAACAAGTAATATAATAACAAGATTATATGTTGTAAAGTAAAAACTTACAAAAAAAATCATTCGCTATAATATTATACATATATGATGTAGGTATATTAGTCTGTATAGAAACACAACTTTTAGCGATTTTTTTCTTTTCATACACTGAAGGTATATTGTGTATGTGAATTTTCGGGAAACTGCAGTGGGCGGGGAGGGGGAGATAAGCAGGTACTAGCTTTAATATACACGTGTAAACACTGCAAAACAACAAAAAAATTTTATGGCTAGCCACGTGATGGTAATCCGACAGCCGTAATATGATACAAGTTCAAAAATCCAGTGAGAAAATTGTATTCGAGTCTATGCGACGCAAGTAAAATATATTACACATATAGGTACAACGACGGTCGAAAGGAGAAAGTATAATATTTGTGTTCTGCAAAGTGTGCACACTTTATCTGCTGCAGTTTTAGATATACACATCGCGTGCGCGGCGCATTACGATTGTGTCATGAGGTAACCGCGACGCGCCGACGCCGCCGGGATCGCCGCTGTCTTAATGATTGATCGATCGATCGGCTGGTCGGACGGCGATCAATCACGCGAGTAATATGTGAGTATACGTACGTATATAGGTACTTATACACGTATGTAATTTATAGCGGCAGTTATAATTGCAGCGAACGCCGCATATGTATATGTAAGCGTAGGAGCAAGAGAGAAAGAAAAAAAACAATGGAGATATTTATTCAAGTCGTAACAACCGAAGCGGGGTTATTTGTATTATTTCTGGTAAAAAAAAAATATAATAATAATAATAGTAATAATAATGAAAAAAATAAAAGGTGGCCATGTCCGGTATGGTACACATAAAATGTGGATATTTTGTATTTGCGGTTTTAATGTGTTATACGATTGCGTTTGAATTGCACTGCACGGTTCTTGTTTATTTCGCTTTTTTGAAGCCGGACGTTGTCTGCGCGTTGGTTGTTGGGGAGAGGTGGTGCAGGAGCATGGTGGTGTAGCTGGTGTGTTTGTGCAGAACGACAAACGGGTAGCAGATAGCTGTAATTTCCTGGCACCGGCGGGGAGTCTTGCAACCGACAATGCGGGTTTTTATTTTTCGAAAAGTCAAACGACTGCGGGGACGTGTGACAGACGACCTAAAATAAAATATTTTATATAAATGATAAACGATAATAATATGTAACACAAAAGGAAACAGGAATCGGTGAAAATATGTGAAAAATAAAACGAAATAATAATAATAAATATATAGATTACGTTACATATTATATATATATATATAATATATATAATACGTTCACGTATACACAATATTTCGGAAGCGGTGGAAAAGGCCTTCTGCGGGTTTGACCACCACCCCGGCGTTAGCGGGGCGGCTACATCCCTCAAAGTAGGGGGTGCGCGGGCCCGGGGCGTTGACCAACACTGACCGGATGACCAATCGATCTGACCAATGACCATCGACGACGCCGCTACGGCGGCTACTCTCTCGCAGCGGGTGCATGTATGTTGTAGCATAGGTATATAGCGCGCAGATGTTTGTGGCCGTCCTCTATACATCTATACGTCGTGCGCTGCTGCACCCTTCGCCCGCGGTTCTCGAGCGGCGGACGCACCCCTCGGGCAAACAAAAATACTACCCCACGGGATTTTTCACCGTGTGCTCGCCTATATACATTTATATAACATATATTTATATATATATATATATATATATTTATATATTGTGTACGGCGCGGAGTGTCCATTAGACGCATTTAAGGTCTTCACCAGTGTGTTTGTGGGTGTGTGTGTGTGTGTGTGTGTGTGTGAATGGTATACAAAATATACGTTTCTAGGTTTGTGGAGTGGTGTGGAGCATCAGCGATATGTATACGATCGGCGTGGTATATAACGAAAATCGTAGTGTAAACCGAATATATGGGCCATATATTTATACGTATATATAATACGTACGATATTGCCATCCGAGATTTTCACGTCAAACGCACGTTTGCCACTTTTGCCGGGTATTATATTTTATACAAACGGCTCTACCACCACCGTCCCTCTTCCCGCAGTGCATAAACAATAATATTCCCGGCCCCAGCAAAGCGATTAAAAACTATTAGGGACATCGTCATGCGGACACTGGGGAACCGTTGCGCAGTGAAGTAGGATTTAATGTATAATAGAACCGCTCTTTAAACGTGACGTAAATACATTGGCGGATTTCCTGGTTATCGGACACTATTTATGGAGAGTCTCGTTCATCGTCGACCGCATTATATTATAGGCATAATAATATTTTATACGTTATACGATTTTATTTTCGTATCATCTATTTTAGCTCAGTTCTAAAATATAATATTATCCCAGCGTTGTCGTATATATTATACCATTGATTATGTGAAAAAGTACAGAAATTCGTTCAACTATTGATTATTTTTCTCTCTTCCCAGTTCTTGCAAATAATCGTCTTCTATACATTATACATAGGATAATATATAAATAGGTCTCACCCGTGTATACCGTATGAAATATTTAACTGTCTCTCGTTAATATGTTATAAACTAAAAATACAATATAATATTTAAAATTCGTTTTTGTCGATCAATTTTTACAATCAACATTTTTTTTTTTTATAAAACAAGCGATTACAGGCCATACGTGATGTCGAAATGGTCTCACTGTACACTATACACACTTATATTATACATATATACGGTGTATGATGGTTACATAAGTTTTGTACGCGTGGTGTGTGTGATCACCTATGACGCGTCATCGCGATAAGTAGCGTTCTGTATGCGACGGCGACGTTAGMGGCGCCCCCTCGCCCGCAGTTGTAACCCTCAAACAGAACTAAACTAATTTGCGCAGCGACCACACATCGACATCGTCATCGCTGCCATTATTATTATTGTACTTGCTACTGATGGACGATTTCATATTGTATTTTTCGACGGGGCGCGAAACAAAAAAAAAAATTACACAAAMGTGTACATGATACCGTGGTATATAGAAAAGTAGGGAGGAAGATATCGAACGGTTATTGATTTTCGTCATTAAAACCACGGATCGAACACAAAATGGACGACGTCCGGCGCGCGCACCATCACCAAACAATAATAACAGTAGGCTAACGATCGGCATTGTCGATTTAATACTTCACGACGTTTGATTAAGCATCGCTATAGAGGTATACCATAATATATCGTATTTAATCGGACTAAGTGTTTGTTTTTATTTTTGTCAATATCGTCGTCTCTGCTCTACACGAAATCCATAAAATAATATTACTCCAGCTGTAGTACAGAAAGAGTTTAATAGGTTTAATATATAAAATATTAATTATGGTAAAACATGTAGATATAAACTCTCTCGATCACAACATTTTAACATTATATACTATGATTTTCACGGATTTTTCTAATTTTTATTTGCAGCGGATACGGACTCGACACACAGTACCGGAGGCACCGATCAGGTTGACCTGCTAACGTGCGGTCAGTGTCAGAGAGTTTTCCTGTTGTCGGACATATGTCGGTTCGTACAGCACAAGATGATCGGTTGCAGCAAAGACCCGCTGACTGCCAACTGCAACAGTGGCAGTGGCGACGACTGCGCCGGGCCACCAGGGCCTCCACAGCCGCCACTCGACAATGGTCTGTCGGTGGGCAAGTCGAAGTCACACCACCGATCTCAGTCACCATCGGGTTCTGACGACCACCACCATCATAATCATCATCACAGGCGACCACCGCCGTCCAGCACGCCTAAGCGGACGTCCGATCGAAACAACGGCGGTGAAGACGGTAATGCGAGTTCCGAGGACGAAAAGTCCAGCACCACTGCCACCGCCACCTCCAAGGGTGGACGGGTAAAACAGGGATCCGAGTCATCTGAGGACTTGGGGTACAAAAAGTCAAACCGCTCGGCGTTATCCTGCGTCGATGCCGAATCCAACACTACCAACTCAGGTATGTTGCGCTCATTTATTTTCTTAGAATTATTATTTTATAGATAGAAGGGGTGGGTCTTACGAATGTGTACTCATTATTATTATATTTTTTTCATCCTTGGGTGAGTGATTGAAAAAGTTACGCAATCGGTTTCAAATTCAGTCGAACGTACGAAATTGAAAGTTATACACCCGCCTCCTCCACCTACTCACTTGTAGTCTGACTGTGTCGTCGTCGAATTTCGTTTTACGCCCGCCGGCGTAAAGAAAATAATATGTTATAAATCTCACACACCGTGGATATATATTCCGTGTGTATTATATTCCGAGAAAAATAATGACAAAAAGATAATCTCGTTCCACCCCCTTCTGCCCGCAAATACTCCGTCGATAACGATACCAACGCATTGAGACGATGTGCAGGGGGTGTGCTTCTGGTCGGAAACTTTGTCTAAATCGTCAGGACATCTGTACTTTTCCGTATTTTTGGGCTGATTAAATGAGATTGAAGTATATAGAAATAGATAATATGTTATGTACACAATATAAAATTATCTTATCGTTGAATTGCGCGTATATCTGTAGAAGTGACTGYGATTCGTTTCGAAATGTATTTCAACATCTCAGGAAAATTGTTCATCAAATTTAGGACGAATGTTTATAATAAAAATAATAATAACAACAATATAATATTAAAATATGACCGTAATAATTGCGACAGAAGCAAAAAAACTATCTGCTAGCGCGGTCAAGTGAACTGCAATTAAATAATTGTCCTTCGCTGCTATATGTGTTGCACTCCACGCGCGTTATTCGTCGTGATAAAGAAAAAAACGTTTTCTGTTAATATATATGATGTATATTTGAGTATACGTTCAACACAATAATGCTCGTTCGTACAGTATAAAATATGGAAAATTATGCAAATAGGAAATTCTTTTTGTTTYGTGTCAAAACATTTCAAACGTTTAAATTTTTTATTAAAACGTGTATTTGTTGTAAGGCTCTCGATAATAATATACTTGAGTTCACAGTAGCATCAATCATTTATCACTGTAAAATCTGCTTTTAATCTAAATAAATCTTTTCTTTTTTAAATCCAAATGAATTGAAATGTGATTTTAACAAAGATATGAGCTAATAATGACTAATCCTTTTAACGCGTGCACTAAATGGTATTCACAATCATCATTTTCCGTTATCGTCCACCGATGACGGGTGGCAGCAGTTTGAACTAATTTTTGTCCAATTCGTCGCGGTTTCGCTGTATTTAATATATATGTATATAGAAGCTTTTATATGATATTATTAAATTTTAATATGAATACAGTGGCACTATGCATAACAAAACCGGTACCGTGGCAGTGTAGTCGTCGTCGTCGTTGTCATCGTCACCTATAATAATTGCAGGTGACAGGCAACCGCCCGTAGAGAGAATGATAGGGAGCGAGAGAGCGAGAGGCGAGAGGCGAAATAATAATAATTAAAGGTCCTTGATTTCGTGCGTGGGTCCTAAATTTTTGGCGCGTGTAAAAAAAAAACCCCGAAAAAACGAGACGACGTTACAGCGTGTGGAAACTCAACCGAGGCGCAACGGACCGCGAAAACAGTAAAAAGAAAAATTGAATGAAAAAATATTGTCGTCGTCTATTATAGAGACGGAGACAGAGAAACTGCGACAACGGTGAAGCTCTCCAGGTGACAACGGGAGTCATTAGCCCGGCTAGAGGACCTTTTTTCCACCGCGGCGCTCGGTTCATCGGGTTCCACGCAGAGATTTCCATTATGTCGTGTTTTATTATCATTATCGTTGTTATTATTCTGGTCAATTATATTATATATTATATTTTTTTTCTCTCTTTGCAGTGGTGGTGTAAATAATAATAATAATAGTAATAAATCCAACCTTGTTTCCCATTAGCGGCACGTTTCACACTGGATCGACGCGTTCTGGATCGGCGACAAATTTTAATTGCATCCGCGCGCGACAACCGGGAAAACCGGCCGCCGCCGTCCTCGGCCGTCCGTTCTCTCCCGCGCGGTATACACAATAATAATAATAATAATAATAATAATAATAATAATGTAGCTGGTGCGCACGTCCATGGGAAACTTATTATTCGCGCGGCACACATTTTTAACGGCCGAATAATCGTCAATAGCCGCCGGACACGAACGACATTTGGCCACGCGACGGGGAGCGCGAAATCCTTTCGAATTAAAAAACGCAAAAAATATATGTTGTAAAATAATACGACCAGTGCAAACGCTAGCGTCCGCGTAAAACCTCGACGACAGTTTCAGAGATATAATACACGTATATAACCACCGCCATCTAATTCTAATTACTACTACAGAATAATAATAATAATAATACGTCGTGAAGAGATGGACGGTTTGAGGTCAAGCGATGAGGAACGGCTTCAGTAATATATAGGCACGCGCGTACAATGGACGAAGCGGATAGCAGAGTGTGTATATACTGTCTATGCACTATATTGCAGTATAATAATAATATATGAAAACGAAAGTCCGAGCGCGATTTGTCTATTAGCGACAGTAATATATTAGCCTCGGGTCGATTTCGTTTTTGTGTGCGTAGCGTTTTCGTTCTCTAGTCAATCGTCATACATATACATTTTAACTGTGCAAACGACTCATATTTTTGTACAATATTATAATGTAAATATAATGCGCGCAGCGCACGGCATATGTGTTATAGCCTTATAGGTACGGTGGTCATCGACGGTCGGTGGTAAAATCAAAATCAACCCTTTCGCGGAGCCGCTACACGCTTGACTATAAATACATATATATATATAATATGACGTATGTAGATAATCTCTTTCGCGATATTGTACACGCGCAACCCCATTGCCACGGCTGAGGATTGACAGTCGGCCGTATGCCCATTGTCCAGTTCGGACTCGCGCGCACAACTGTTAATAAACTATAATATATACGCTATACATATTATACAGTTTCTGCGCACCGTCCCCCGCGGGAACGACGACATATAATATATTTCACCCTTTCTCCGTTACGTCATTCACAATTTTTTTTTTACACGTCAACATTACATATATACACACAAGTGCCACCGTCGTGTTTATCGGACCGTAAACACCGCCGCCGCCCGCGCGGATTATATTATTATATTGTATACAAACGATCGCCGTCGTATATATCGCCAATTAGTATATCGTATAGAAATCGAACACCACGCGTTACACTCATCATCGTGATGCCCCGGCACATTGCATATTATATTGTATAATGTAATACGTAGTTATATCTGCCGCAGTGACCCTCGCTGTCGTCCGGCGGCGATCTGTTCAAATTAAAAACGATTTTTTTTCGCGTTCGCGTCCGTCCGTCAAACGGCGGCAGTGGCAGAACGGACAGTGCGCTGCACACACAATCACGATCGCCGTACACACACACACACACTTATATATATTATTATAAAATATTAAAATAATAATAATAATATAATATGTGAAAACGTCGTTACGGCCTGCGGGCTTCCCACGACACTGCGGGTCACGACGCCCGAAGGACGGCGTGGCGGAGACTCAGACGATGTGGACTATACGGCGCGCGAGGTGGCGACGGCGACAGCGTACAACTCGGTTGCGCTCATCGTTTCGTCACTGCGTATCGTTCGTCGTACTTACTCGGTGCACATTTTCCCTTTACGCCGCCGGTGTGGTCACTAAACCGTGTCAGGGACGCTGTGACTTATATACATATAACCAGCTAACCCGACGTTGACGACGACGAACGTATATTTATATTGTATAGGTATCTACCACGACATCGGTCGTGTTTACGGTAGACCTGTAAGAGTAGGATATCGTATAAGCGTTTTCCCGGATCGTTTCCCGTACATCGACTATTATTATTAGAGATTATTATTACAATATTATTATTATTACGTCGTCGTAATTATTTTATTTTCGTCCTCGCTCCAAAAAATGCGAAATAAAAATGACACGGGCAATAATAACGAAATATTATGCGATATCGCAGATATCCACGTCGGGTTTTTCGGGTTTTACACCGTAAATATATTTTGTTATATACGATGGGTCACGACCGCGGAAAGCACGATGAAAATATAACAACATTATAAAATATTAATATAATATTATACGGTTCGAAGAGAAGAAAATAAATTTAAATATCAAAGTGATTATTAAACGCGCGACTGTGACAATAGTAATATTAAACGCCGTTATAATATTATTTTATCGGACGTCGTCACACGACTTCAAATAATAATAATTAATAACTACAGTGTACACGTTACACGCCGTGTAATAATAATAATAATAATATAATCTCATCGGTGGGCGGACGTGGCGGCGTGCTGCAGCCGCGGTCTATGTACAACTGCAGTCATGGTCAGTTTACATATTATAGTTGTGTCCGTCTGCGCGCACACACACACACACAGGACCTAACCTTACCCATATTATTATATTATGCACACAGACCGTCATCGTCAGTCGCATCATCATCATAATATGTATATAATAAATACGTAATATTTATATCGTGTACCTATAAAAGACACCCACGACACGTGTTGTTTATATATTATGCATATTTTATTGTATGTGCGTCGCCGCTGGGTCCGCGACCGGACGTGACTTTTGTCGGTGAAAAACGCTCGTGCCAATAATCTCYGAAAGCTGCAAATACTTTGTTGTGTTCATTTTTAATTTTTTAATTCGCATGCCTTTCGATTATAATAATTATGTGCGTGGGTAAGTGTGTGTACGTTATCTATAGGCAACGTGTATATCGATGGCTTAGTACTCGCGCATTTACGTCTATTCTACGTGCCTATTACAAGTCCACACCTGTCTATTATCTCCAAAATGGACTTCACAAGTCCATCATCGCATATCGACTCGTTGTTTTCCCGAATGCAAGCATGCGGGTTACGTATGTGTTTTTGACATCAAACACACACACATATATTTTGTATATATATAAAACGATAAACGACTT